TGGAAACCACTTCAGTTCAAGAACATGATAGCATTCTGTTTACTGGCATACATTTATTTACCCCTTCCCTAACCCTGCCTCCAATATTTTTATTCTGGAGCAATGGATAAAAGAGAAAGAGGTACTCCAATATCTTTTAGGGGCTCTTAGCTATGATATGCTGGACAGCCTTTAGCAATTACTGTATAATTCACACTCTCCCATTATCTAAACACAAGCAACTCAACTGAAATTACACAGGCGTTAGAGACAAAGGCAATTCACCCTAGCATTCCTTTCTGAATCCCCCTGCCTCTTCTGGAAACTGACAGTCTTAAAGAACATCTGAAAGTTCCACTGACAGTTATGAATACTATTTCAAAGCAGAAACCAAATTGCAAGAGAATCAAGAAATTACATAAGGAAAAATATTTTTTCTTCCATCTTTGAATGAGAAGAGAAGTAGGTAGATATACAAGTAACTATTATACCCCTCTAATGTAATTTTTTTAAATATCAACTATTACTAAACACTCTGCTTATTGATATAAGATTCAGGAGAACAGGTACCACAGCTGTGGGAAGGCTGGGGACACAGAATCACAGAGGTAACATAAGTCATTGTCAGTGGTCTGGCTTCTGTCTTTGGTCATGGTTGCATTAGGATTTACATATTATTATAAGCAATCAATAAATTTAAAAGGGTGATGCACAGACTCGAGAGTATCTCATGAAGATGATTTAGGATTATCCTAATTCTCAGTACCTAAGACTCAAACCATTAGCACCCACCCCCACACACAAAAAAAAGAGGTATATAAATTCACAGGTTATGGAAATTTCAAACTGATACTTTGTCAGAATCACCTACCTAGAACTAGTTCAAGGCCTGTGGTTTGACACATGATTTGCTATAAACTGAGTTCTTGGCATCATCTTGGCAATTTTTTAAATGACTTCAACTGAAATGGAAACACCAGATTGTTACCCATCCTCTTCTCTCTGCCATAGCTTAGATCGTGCCAGACATCCATGGAGTTTGCCAAGTCGAGTTCTCTCCTTGACTCTTTAATCCTAGATTTGCAGATATATGCTGTGACTCCCATTCCGGAGAGCCAGGAGGTCCTGCAGAGAGAGGGTGTTCCAGACAACATCAAAAGTTTCTATAAAGTGAATCATATCTGGAAATTCCGCTACGACAGACCATTTCACAAAGGCACTAAAGATAAAGAGAATGAATTCAAGGTACCATGCTGTTTAATTACATGTTGTCTCCTCAGACAGACTGTGAGCTCTTTGGGGCATGACCCTTGGCAGATATTTACTCAGAATAGTGTCAAATGATAGAACCAGAAGGGACTATAGAATTCAGTCTAGTGGCTCTGCAACTCTGCTATGTATCAGAGAGACAAGGGGTGCTTTCTAACCAAGCAAATTTTTGGTCACCGACCCAGGAATTCTGATTCAGTGGGTCTGGGAGGAGTTCCTGAAGTCAGCTTTGTGTGGCGGCTCTAATGCCGGCAGTCCTGAGACCCGTCTTTGAGAACTCACGTTGAGCTCGGCTCAGGCCTCTCACTCATTCATGTTGAACCGATTGTGGGAACCTGAGGATATTTATTCTCAGATATCGTAGAGTGTAGTGAGTAAAGAATATTCAATGAACAGGGAGAAGGAGGCTCCTGAGACAGAGAACAGTTGGGTAGACTGCGGGTACAGTGTGTAAGTTCTGTGCCATCTTTTGCTGCTTTTTCTGTTAGAACAGTATTAGGACTTCTGAGAGGACCCAGAGTAAAAGCAAATCTTGGACTTTTTGCATGTGTTGAGTTCTCTGCTCTCAGTAGTTCCAACATGCCTTGCTCATTCAGCACTCTCTCAGCCAGAAAGGGGTAAGATTTCTTACAGTCCCACTGCGGGAAAAGAACAAGAATGTTCAGCAGATAAATTATAATCTGCCCTTTTCTTTGCCAACAAGTGACACAGTGAGACCAGATAGATCCCCCAGTTAGTCAGTATTTCATGCCTAAACAAAGAATGCAAAATGAACTCATCATTGTGGGGTAATTGGCTTAGCACATTTCATCATAGATATTCTCTATGTAAGCTAGGAGACGTTCTCCTAACACTGTTAGTAACGATTGCCTAATGTTCACACACGTGGTCGGCTGTGCCTAAGTGTTAGTTTCCTGTGCTCCCAGAAGTAACTCGGGGAGTCACTCACAGCCAAGAGATCAGAAAGGGAAGCTGCAATCGCTTTGCAGAGTTATGATGGGGCTGAATAAAAAGCAGTTCTTTGTGCAAGGGGATTTGAGAGCTAAATATCGAAGGAAGGAGACCATCTGAAAACATCACTGTGGTATTATTGAAAAGATCTGTGATCATTTTGTCATCCTTTCTCAGGATACTTACATTTTTCTTTTTGCCCCCCAAAATCAGTTAAAGTTACAGTTTGTTTATGATAGAGTTCTTGCAATTGCTTCTAGTGAAAAAAATAGTCAAAGATCCACTGGAATCAGACAACTGGCTTCCTGAAAGTCGCATCCTAATTTCCGGTAGACCCAGTACTAGAGCCCACATTTTCTGATTCCTTCTCCGTTGCTTTTTCCACCGCACCGCATTTCCCTGTGGCCATCCCTTTAAATAGTCATCGGTGATACAAAGCTCTCCCTAAAAAATAATAATAATACATCTGACTCCTTATTTCTGTGCTGGTAGCCTTCAGAGTCTGGCTCCAAACTGTGCGTCCAGAAGCTTCCTCTCCGCCACAGCCCACTCACTCTCCTTCCCTCCCAGCTCCAGCAACACTCAACATCTCTCCTCCTCTCTCACTGTGCCCTTTCACAAGCCGCTCCGTCTCTGTGCAGGCTGCTTCCTCCTGCCTGCACGCCACCCCCGCTCTCCTCCTGGCACACTCCTACTTACTCTTCAGAATGCAGCTCACGTGTCACCCCCTCTGAGAACTTCTGTCCTCCCCGCAGGCTGGCGTGCACGCCTGCATCCTCCTCCGAGTCCCCTCAGCCTCCCTTTCTCCTCACTCTGCACTCTTATCTGCTTACCTGCCTGTCACCCCAGGACAGGTGAGCTCGTGTCATAGGGGCTCGGCTGTATTCATCTCGGTACATCTTGGCTGACCCAAAGAAGCTCTTCCTTTTTGTTGTTGTTGTTTGAATACATGGCACTATTTCAGAAATGTCGTAAGGCTTATTATCCTCTCAGGAATACACATGGTTTAAATAAGAAAGATGAGATATAGATACTGGAACCTGGTTGGCAAAAGAGAAACCTGTCATCAACAGCAGCTCCTACGAAAGGCAGCATGGTTTCTCGTGTCCTGGCCAGAGGGAGCGCTGGCTCTAAAGTACAGATCCACCTCAATCACAGCAGTTCAGAGGGACACAGGAACATGTGGCACAGTGGATTTAGCAATGGAGGAAGCATCACAGGTCCTAATAGGTGGGTTCTGGTGTCGGCTCTGCAGGTCATTAGAATATAGCTTTTGAGCAGGTAGCATTGGCTCTTTGAGACTTAGATTTTCATTTTAAAATAAAAAGATCAAGCTATGTGATTCCTAAATCCCTTTTTTCT